CACCACCCAACACCGTTGACACGTCACTCACATATAATCACTCTCACCAAGATTAGTAACTCTACCCTCAGCCTGCYGGTAACCCCATCAATACCACATCAAACATTCCCAGAATTCCTAGGGTTCTTGCGTTTTATTTTTGTWTTGAACCAAGATCCAATGATACTCCATAAGTAGCCACAGGGCGCAARTATGGTATGACAATAGTTCTATTATATTTATTGTGGTTTGGGGTCACTGGCTGTGGTCTGCACAGRCGACGTTGTGGGAGTGTTTTTAATATGCATCGTTCTCAGATTCAYCACGAAGTTTGCCCTAAATATCCTTTATCCTGCCCGAACAACTGCAGTATTRTGGAGCTTACAAGAGAGAAGGTARGACTCTTGAAACTCGCTCAAAATTATCTTATAAAGTTGATTGTTATAGGACCTTTAAACCTTGTTTAAAGTATTATATAACGAGYGATGAACCAGTGCTAGCTGTGCCGTATTATAATAATGAAGGAGTTGTTATGAAGTGATAAATCATAAACAGTAAAAAAGTAGAAAATTGSCGGACTTTTTGGACGTTGGGGCTTCGCAGAGCTTCGAATTTGGGAGATTAAAAGACGATGGATCAATGTCCAAATGATCATTAATTAAGTTTGCTATCTTTTTCTGATGTGATTCAACCTATCGTTCTCAATGAGGGTATATCGAAAGAACGAGTAAYATAATTACAGATAACCTGCATGAAGAAATTGCMAAATAATTGTCAAATTTAAATAAGATATTTAGAAGTTTTTTGTGAGGAAGACAACATTTTCACGAAAGTATTTTAAGTGCTATGAATAACAGTTTAAGTGGTCCAATTTTGTGTTGTTTTTATTTTATCCTCAAGTGGCTGTGYCAGACAGTATATTAAGTTATGGCGTAAAAGTGTTTCTAAGTAAAAGGTTGACAGCTAGTTGTCATTGGGACTGAGCCGCGTTTGAATTGTTCAAAAAGCTGCCGAAATTACAGTATGCCGATGAGGCAATAGTGCAATATAGGAGACTACGCAAGAACATAGCTTACTTTCTCTGATAATTCAATGATTTAAATTTTGCCATAAAACATCCGAACGTTGTTCTACAAATTTGTTTCTTATATAAGTTGAATGCACTTTGCTAAATTTGGTGAAAATGATTGTCCTTCAAACTCGCTTCTGCTTGATATTGAATAGTAAAAGTCTCACTTCCATAAGTTGTTGATACTAAATACCTCATAAAAGCTCATGTAAAAATAGGCCTCATTAAAGCTATGAGAAATATTCGTCTGTCTTCGCCTGGTCGAGCTCTGAAAACCAGCAATGCACAGCAATCGACTTTTCTGACCTGCTATTTAAAGCTTTGACGTCAACATCAATTTCTTGAATTTTTCGTTTGAGTTACATTAACCGAGCTTAAAATGCTCATTTTATAACGCCGATTCTCTCAAGTGTCAATCAATGCAAATGATATGATAATGAGCTTAAACAAAAGATTGGAAGAATTTCCATTAAGTTCGACTCATGTGATATTCGACGCATGAAACAAGTCTTAATTTGTACGAATTTGAAAACAATTAGCACTCATAAAGGTCGAAGAAAGAATACCGAAGCGCCTGAATAGATTCATTATATATATTTAAGCTGAAAGGCAGAGAATTCAATCTCCTT